TCCAGGAACCTCCTAGACTGCTTCCTCTCTGCCGTGTTGTATTTCCAGCAGACATCCGGGAGGTTGAAGTCCCCCACGAGAACAAGGGCTAGCGATTGTGGGACTTCTGCCAGCCACTTATAGAACGCTTCATCCGCCCCTTCATCCTGGTTGGGTGGTCTATAACAGACTCCCAACAGGATATCTGCCTCGTTGGCCTTCCCCCTCATCCTTACCCATAAACACTCAACCGTATCATCATCACAATCGTTGAGCTCTAGACAATTGAAACACTCCCTAACATACAGGGCCACCCCACCGCCTCTCCTTCCTCGCCTGTCGCTTCTGAAGAGTCTATAGCCATCCATTGCAGCACTCCAATTGTGAGAGTCACCCCACCATGTTTCTGTGATGACCTCATTCCTTATAAGCAAGAAAGTGTGTGTATTAGAGCGGACCCCAGTATAAAATTCTTTTGCAGACAGATTCAAACTCTTGTAGTTATGACGTAAATGCATGTTTCAAAAGATGGAAAGGAACAGTTGAGAACTAAGAACAAACCTTGCAGAACGAATCTGCAACCTTCATCCTTTCCATTGATTTGCTTGCTTTTTCATTTGTACATACTGAGCACTTTTCCCACTTCTAAGTAATGCAACTGTCCCTAACTCAAGCGAATAAATATTTTACGTTGGACGGTTGCTGCATAGATACAGCATGTGAAATTAAGTTTCTTAAAGAAACATTAATCCAATTACTTTTTCCTCATTCAGGCCTTATATTATGAAAACTTTACAATATGTACGATAGTGTATTAGACAGAATATTTAAATAAGAATATGAAATGAAAAATATGTACAAAATAAGCAGAAAACATTAGCATTAGCATTTGCCTTTATTTTAATTGTACAACCTAAAGGTGGTATTAACACATGATTATGCATTTAATTTTCTAGTTTGATTAAAAACAATTGCATGTGCTTGTTCATAGTTTAAGTGGTTCCAGTTGGCTCTTGAAGTCTTTCACTTCAGTGAAGCAAATGTAATGTGGTAGACTTGAGTTCCAATCTTCATTGCTCATTTCACTTTGACCGATGAGTTTTCTGCAAGCCCGGGTTAACAAGGCTCATAGATATTAGTTTACAGAGTAGGGCTACATGATTTTAAAAATTATCCTTTTAGAATTGATAGCTTGTTGATACTACACGGTGTTACCATTATTGAAACAGTCTCTAGAATTGTAAGGCTTAATTTAGTAGCCTTCCTTCAAAATATTTGAGAAATGAATTAGTGAATGCTGTTCAGAAAGGATTTTAGATCTCCTTCAGCTCTATTAAAACTGAAGCAGATTCCAGCTTCCAAGTCTTTTTTTTCAGTTGCTCATAACTTTTCTTTTTAGTGATCCCAGCAGCCAAGGGGGGATGCGGAGAAGATATGATCTTGCCAAATTTCTTTTGGCTGTTTTAAATGTAATTTTGTTCAAAACATGTTTGGAATTGTATTACAAATTAAAAAAAAAAAAAAAAAAAAAAAAAAAAAAAAAAAAAAAAAAAAAAAAAAAAAAAAAAAAAAAAAAAAAAAAAAAAAAAAAAAAAAAAAAAAAAAAAAAAAAAAAAAAAAAAAAAAAAAAAAAAAAAAAAAAAAAAAAAAAAAAAAAAAAAAAAAAAAAAAAAAAAAAAAAAAAAAAAAAAAAAAAAAAAAAAAAAAAAAAAAAAAAAAAAAAAAAAAAAAAAAAAAAAAAAAAAAAAAAAAAAAAAAAAAAAAAAAAAAAAAAAAAAAAAAAAAAAAAAAAAAAAAAAAAAAAAAAAAAAAAAAAAAAAAAAAAAAAAAAAAAAAAAAAAAAAAAAAAAAAAAAAAAAAAAAAAAAAAAAAAAAAAAAAAAAAAAAAAAAAAAAAAAAAAAAAAAAAAAAAAAAAAAAAAAAAAAAAAAAAAAAAAAAAAAAAAAAAAGACAAAGCATAGTATCCGCACTAATACAATTTAAGTAGTGTTGAAATTACTTTCTTACTGTGTAGCAATCACTCCCAGCAGTTGGTGAAAAAAATAACCTGAAGAGTTTCTTTCCTCTCTGTTCTTTCTATTCAGAGTTACACTGGTTGAAACCTTTTGCTAACTCAGCTGACATACCGGCATTTTCAAAGACGTTGTGGGAATGTCATCCACTTGCAGAACAATGTGAATAGCTTCAGAGTCTGACCTGTTGTGTGCGCAGGGGAATGTGTCACTCTTGAAGCATCGCTACCTTAGGGAGGCAGCTTGGCAGTAGTTATAATGGCCAATGATGCTACAAAATTTACAATGGCAAACGAAGAATATTATTCATGATAGAAACAGGAGGGTTATTTAGATAGGCATAATATACGGTAGTTACTGAAGTATAAATGACTGTGAAAGAAAGGGCCAGATTTTTCTCAAGCTGTGTCTGCTATATACCATACGTTGTATTTAAAGGAGACAGAACTGTGGTAAACAATCGTAGGCAGCTCACTGCAGAAGGCGAGGATGTATCGGAGGTAGGGAGCCAGTGAAATGACCAGACAGTCTTTCTGACTTGGAGAATGGGGGATGTGGCAGGAAGGAAGGAAGCTGCCCCACACCGCTGGAGTTACTTGCTGCTATTTTGCTCACTTGGGAATATTGGCAGTTGGCAGAAGCTGAAAGCAGCCCTAACCCCTGCAACCTAACACTACTTTAGTCGTCTTTGTCCTTACCTGGACTACCTTCACTTTTCAAAGTAGTTAATAATCAAGGTCCAGAAGTAAACACGTGTTTTTTTAGAAAACCATCCTAGCTGAAAGGTGATGCATTCACAAACACAACGCTTCTGGTCTCAGCGTGGATTGTAAGTTCACTCCTGTCTCAGAGGAACAGGACCATAATTTCCTGGCTTGCCAAGTCTGTTCCCCAACTATTCCCAGCGACTGTATCATATAATTCTGTTCTGAAACTGAACAAGTTTTATCTAAAACAAGGTTTAAAAAAAGTCACCCTCACAACACAGCTTAAAAGGCTGAAAACTATCTAACTGTAGCTTGCATATATTTAGGGCAGTTTGCAAAACCAGAGTTTGTTAGTGTTTAGTACAACCCACTCTGTGACCCTCCTTAGCGAAGGAAATCTGGTGAGATCTTGCCCTGGAGTCACAATAGTAGTTTCCCTCTTTCTGGTTTCATTTGATCTCCCAGGGAGAAGTAATAGTCTCCCATGTGACAGTGGGAGAGGGAGATGTTCACCTTAAGGACGTGCATTGAAAATAAATCTGAAACACATTTCCTTGCACATAACCCAGCTCTTTACATTGAAATTACCCTTTGGATTTTAGAGTGGTTGCAGAAAGTCTGTGAGCAAGTCTTGGGCTACTAAGACCATCAAATGCCGTATCCTGTTCTTGGGATTCGTTTCAGTAGAAGGTGCAGGAAATATAGATTTAATTCTTTTATTCAACTCAGTAGATGGTTTGGGACAATTAATTTCCAATTGTTTCCCAGTAGAGCAGATTTACTTGTATATTAATGAGGCACAGGTGTTAGGCCCCTGGTGCCTGCATGCCTGGGAGGCATATTTAGGTTGTTTATCTAGTCAGCCATAGGTACTGCAAGGTACTCAAGCTTGCCTTTAACAGTTTATACAGTGAGGCTTTTTAATTTTTTGATGTTTTTTTAAATTTGCTAGCACCTGTTAAAATTTTAAAACTGATCATGTAGAAAGAAGTAGGAGTGATTTCAATAGTAAATAGCTCTAAATGTTAAAGAAAGTCATCTTCTATTATGCTTAACTGCCCAGCTTGACATTAAGAAGAAAAGAAGGTTCATTTAAGCAAATATGTCATGTGAGGAGCTAATACAGTCAACAGTATACTTTTCTGTTGCATATTTTTGGAATAGGTACTTCTTTGTCTACAGCTGAAACAGGAATGTGCTTATATTAATATTCATTTTTCTTGTTTATTCACTGAACTGCAGTACCAACATTTTAGAGGAAATGGAATAGCCTCCATAGACATTATGAATTTCAGTAGCTGGCATAATTATAGCGATCTACATATTCATTAAATCCAAAGAAGAACTGTGTCCAAAAAGACAGCCATGCGTTTAGAAATGGTACACAACTAAATATATACATTAAAAAAAGTTCCTTTCCTCTGCTTATCCAAAATTGTGTAGTGTCATATAGTCCTTACATCAGCTAAGACTTTTTGTTGTTGTTGTTTAAATGTTCATTCCTTTTGCTTTTGCATGCAGTAAAGAATGGGAAGAACTATTTGTAAACAACAATTACTTGGCAACTATACGGCTGAAGGGGATTAATGGGCAGCTGAGAAGCAGCAGGTTCCGTAGTGTTTGCTGGAAGGTAAGAAGAGAAAATATTTATTTACAGTTTGTGGTTGCAACATATCAACACATTACCTGATGCGCTGGAAGATTATTGATGCAAAGAATCATGAATTTTCCAAGAGACTTCATCCCAATGTTTTCCTACTCATTTTTATAATTCATAGGACATTTGCTAATCATATTGAGTTGCCTTAAAGCTGAATTGCAGGTGATAGCAAAAGATTCCTGGGAAAGAATCTCTTTGTGCTGGGTGATGTGTTTAGAATTGAGTGCCACACAGCCATCTCTCTTCTCAGTCTCTGTGCAGTGAAGCTGCGCACTGGAAATAAAAAGGAAGTTTGTCTCACCATTTATGTTTTGTGGAACTTGGGACTTCTTTAAAATCAGTCCGATGCTTCTGCTAGCAGCTTTTCCCAGTGAATTGAGAAAATGAGGACCAATCCATCTTGTAATGACTGGATAGAGAGGGAAGCCAGGTCTTCCAATCGTAAAAAACAACAGGTCCTCAGAGGTCTCTTACTGTATTTTTTAAAAGTTGCAGGGGAAGGAAGAAGAAAGCAAGCAAAGAAATAGTGAGATGCTGTATGAAGTCCAAAAGAATTTTGTTGCACCGGCATCAGGTCTTCTGTTCTGCACTAACTTTGATAGTAGAGAACATTTTCCCTAGTAGAGATGCTGTATGTTAACACTGATAATTGAAATTACCTCACTTGGAATTTCTCAAGCTTTACCTTGGCACAAAGACCTATAAAAAGAAAATGAAAATACTCTTTGTATATGAATGAAAGAAATTTGAAAATTGAAGTTTGAAATTTGAAATGTATGTAGCATTGAACAAATTTAAAGTTCATGAAAATACTTTCTTCAGGAGGCCAGATGAATATATGCCACAAGCATTGTTTTACCAGTCTGCTTCTTCTTGAGCCTCTAAATTAGGAGGCTGTAACTCAAAACCCTGAACTAACAAAAGCATCAAGTCCCTCACTGTCCACTATTTAAATAAAGGAGTGGTTTTATTTTAGAAATAAATCTGGGTTTATTTGCATGTCCCGATACGGGTTAGGGCTCTGTTTAAGACTGCCTATTTTAAAAATATTAGCAATTTTTTTGTCAGGTTCTGAAATATTTAAGTATTTTTAATAATTTGGGAATGTTTTTTGTTTGTCAGTATTTACTGTTTCATAACACTTTATAATGTGTAAATAAAAATATTTAAAAAGCAAGAAAATACTCTGGTTTTTTCCTTATTTTATATGCAATTAAATAGTATTTTCCAATAGAGGTTTCTTTCTAACCCTTTTTAAACAGAAATGTGAAAGAACTGAGATGTAGGCATTCTCAAGGACTTTTTGCAAAATGGACTCTTTTAACTGTCTTGCAGAATTCTAGAACATGTTACTTTTCTATAGACTAAGATTTTCCCTTTCCACATTCCTTAGGTAGAGTCTATCTCTGGGTGCTTAGTTTCTGCTCTGCATTCATGTTTGGTTTTTAGTGTGTTGCATTAGCTCATCAGTGTTTTGTAAATAGCTTCTAGTTTTATATATTTATTTTCATGTCTTCTTTGCATTTTGTTTCTGCCTTCAAAGTCTCAATCAACTTCACTGAAGCTGTGACAGTTTACAGAGCTTGAGTTTGTGGCCTCAGGTTTTTTTAATGCTTTATTTCCTACCGTAGAACTGTTATTGTTTCTAGCTTCTTATTTATTGACTGGAAAGTACTAAAGCCAGGAGTATTTTACAGGTCTTCGCTTTCTTCTCCTTCTGTGTAGAGTACTTGCTCCTCCTTTCTGAGATGGTGTATGCCGTCTGGTAGGATTTATATGAAAAGCTATGTTAAATTGATTAAACTTAATGGATTTATTTTGTTTTGTTGATAGTTATTTCTGGAGGTTCTACCCCAAGACAGAAGTCAGTGGATTAAAACCACTTCAGACTTAAGAACTTCTTACAATAAGATCAAAGAAATTGTAAGTTGGTACAAAATAGGTTTTCTACTCTCATGCGTTGACATAGGTATTAATACTTACAATATAACAGAAGAGGATTTGATTTTTTTTCTGTTTTTACCCAGCACATTACAAACCCTCGGAAAGCAGGACAGCAAGATCTGATAATCAACAACCCTCTCTCTCAGGACGAGGGGGTAAGTTGACCCTTGGTTCTATCAACATATGTGCTAGTAAAATTCTCATCATCATCATACAGACATCAGTGAGTTCTTGCTGAAGAAGGAAAAATGGCAGGTGCTAAAATCTCCCTCCTAAATTTCCGAACTGATTTGTGTTAACAGTGGTTCACAGACTCTGCTGAACAACCAGAAATGTTCATTTCCAGGTTAATATTCTGATTTTTCAGGGCTTATCACAGGGAAGGCTGTGATGAACAAAAAATCAGTGCTGGACTATAAGTCCAGTTTCACAGCATATCCTTTCTTTGACTGAAACGCTTTTTTATTGCTGTGTGTTTTCATTTTATAAGCAAAATTGCTCTAATTGAAGGAGTGTTTAAATAGTCAATATGAAGGGAATGCTGTTAACAGCAAGTACTGAAGAACCCTCCTCTGGAAGACTGTTCAGCCTTGGAAGTTTTTCTCCAGCAAAAATAGAATTGTTGTATGTCTGAGTTGTACACGTGCTGAGTTACTGTCTAAAGCACCAGGCTGCAAGATACACATTTCTTCCAAGTTTTTTAGTTCTTTTTCTTTATACAGTTAAAAGAAACAAAAGTTTCTTTTCTAATCAGAAAGCAGCCAGCTGCAAAATGACAGGTCCAGGTTTTAAAGAAATACTGAAAATGTGGTAAAAGTATTTGGCCTGACTGTCGTTAAGTGCAGAGCATCCAGCTCTCACTGAAATTAGTGGGACCTCCTAGTAGCTTGGTATTTTCGAAGTCATGCACTTTGATGAGGGTTTACGTGTAGATTTGGGAGCTTAATTTTAGGCATTTTTTTTTTTTACGCTGCATTTTATTATACCTGAAAAACTCTTAGGGATTTTATAGCACATATCTTTAAGCTTCTCCGTTAATTATGTTACCATTTCTGAAAATTCTTTTTTATCATGTTTTCAAAATAACTTAATACCATGAAAATAATTTGTTTGGCTGCATTTGAGAGATTTACACCTGGAAAGACCGTCACAGATATCTTTGGTGGTACTGCTTGTGTTGCCATTTTGTTTAGAAAAATGGAAGCCCATATTTTTTTTTTATTTAGTGTGGTACTCTGCTTCATATTTAACGTAGAAGGAGAGATGGGTTCGCTTGTGGAAACGTGGAAGTATTGATCATAGGCACATTGGTGGCTCTGCAGCCAGCATGACTGTGTATGCCATCAAACAATTCTTGCATCCAGCTGGACAGAAAGTTGTGTCAAATGTAAAAGATTTAAAGTGTTTCTGCTGCAGTTTGTGATTTTACACAGTGGCACAACCTTCTTTCTGCCTATGATGTCTTTAGGAGATAGTACACAAAGGTTAACATGTCAGAGTATGTGGCAGGGGATTAATCTATAAAACAAAGCCATGGGCCAAACCAGGCGTGGGAATGCAGACCGAAGGGCCTCTGAGCCTCTGCAGTGACTTAATGTTTTACCCTTTCGGTGTCCTGGGTTTTGCTTCCTTTTCGCAATGAGGATTCTGTTTCCTTCATCCTTTGCTCTGACGGACTGGGGTGGGAGCAGGGGCAGGGGAGTTTCAATGTGTGATCGAGCTGCATGAAAAGAGCTGCGAGTTAAAAAGATACTAGTTTTACTTAAGACATTGTCAAGGATATAAATACTTTTAAAGTTTGGGGGTTTTTCCGTAGTTTGTAACACAAATGTAGAAGCTGATTAACATTTGCTTTTTTGTTATTTTACCTTCCTTCTGCTAGATAACATTAATTTACTTTCTCTTTTCTTTCTGTGGAGCGTAAGCCACCATGGCAATAAATTGTTTACAGGGTAGCAAGAAATTCTGGAAGCATTGTAGCCACTCTCTTTGTATGATATTTCATTCACTGGTGCTGCTGCTATCTGAAAACTAACCTGCATGAAAAGACTGCTATAGATTTTGTTCCTGCTGTATTTTGATCAATATGGCCAAGCTACCATCCCTTTACAATAAAAATAGGCTTTACAATACTTTTTCTGGAGCATACAAACAACATTTGCTGACTTCTTTCAGGTAAACAAGGCATGGAAACCAAAGAAAAAGAATGGAAATGGTCATAAGCACAGATATAGAAGAAGCTAAACCTAGTTCAAACTCTTTTATTTAATATTTTTTTTATGTTGACAGTGAGCTTTAAATACCCCAGTTTTCCCTATCAGAAATTTTTTAGAATGGCCAGTCTTGATCTGTACTATGTGTATGTACCATTACAATGATGTCATTTTCATAACAGGTATTTGATCATCATACATTCCTTATTCGATTTTGCCTCCACTAAGATGAACTAGCTTACTTCCAAACAACTTCTTAGTGTGGAAATTATAGCAGCTTCCAGTTAGAGTCCATACATTCACAGGAGAAATGTAGCACAGTACGGTGATATAGACCTTTTTCCCTGAGTGAATTACTGATTTTTTTTTCAGTTGAGCTGCTGGTTCCGGTAAGTTTGAATTTACTCTGCCTTCCTAAATATTCTTTATAGATCCCTTACAAGTAACTCTCAGACCTGCAGCCATCCAGTGAGTGAATGGAGTGAGCCTAGAACAAGGATCCAGGAACTTGAATGTTTTAATCTCTGATCTAAACTGACTGTCTCAGATACGTTAGGCTGGTCACCAACATTCTTTTTCACCCATAAAATATTGATATGCCTATCTACCAGGAATGTTGAGGATTAATTAGTTAATATTTGTACAGTACTTTGCTGGTGTAGTACATAAGCCTTAAGTATTAGTAGACATCTCTGTTTCATGCAGTTATTTTTCCTTATTTCAGAGTCTTTGGAATAAATTTTTCCAGGATAAAGAGCTTCGAGCAATGATTGAACAAGATGTGACAAGAACGTATGTAGATCTCTAAAGAAATTTCTATATATACAAATAGATTCTGCTTTTTTTTATGTGGTATACATTATATATTGTTTTCTTGACTTCGGTTAGTGTAAATGTCAGGATTGTTGAACATGAATGTGTAGAAACATACATTAAATGTATAAAAATACAGCTTTCTTGGAGTAAAATATGAGAAAATAGAGTTAAACATTAAACCCTGGAGATTTATTGGTGTCATTGGAGAAAAGCTCTTCTAAATTAAGATATTAGGAAATGTATTACTATGTGAAATTTAAAGTAGAGTTTTCCATGTGAAGCAAAGAGAAGGTAAGAGAAACTGGAAGGTCTTTTAACTAAATTATGATCATAATAGAAGATTGAACAGATGACTTTCTTTAATTCTTAACACTTATTCAATCAATCGTAAAAAAATCAGTTTGTAATTAGTAAGGGAAATGTCACTCATCTAGAGAAGTTAAGCATTTCTATTTTTATTTGTCAGTTTTCTAGTGTTATTTGTCACATATGCCTTTTAAAATTTGTCCTAATATTACTGTGATTATGTTTTCATCTTCTTGGCCCTTAGGTCATTCCTGTTTAGGAATTTGCTTGAGTTAGAACACTCAGTTCCTGAAAACATTTCTTTTCAGAGTGGAAGCATTGACTGATGTGTAAATCTAATTAAATTCAATTACTGGTTTGCTACCATGTGAAATTTTACTGTATTGCAAATATTTTTCCTTATAACTTGAAAAAAGTGGTGATAGTCATAGATTTTACAAATCCCAAGCTCACACATTTTCATTTACAGAAACAAAGTCATGCACAAGAAATCATTGCTCTCTGGTTTTGGAATATTTTATATGTCTGTCCCTAGACCCATTCTTGAATGCATTTTGCCATGAGATGTATAATTAAAATCTGAGTATGCTTTCATGTGCATTCTCACAGATGGTATTTTTTGTTTGTTAAAGGAAACAGTTCAGGATGTTCTAAGATTAAAATATATACATATCTAAACTATAATTGGAGAATGAAAAGTTGTATGGAGGTTATGTTGGATGTAAGACTTATTTAAAAAAACATATATATATATATACACAAAGTCCAGGCTCTCACTCTGGCAAATAGCAGAGTGAGTAATAGTCACTAATATCAGTAATAGTGACTAAAGAAATTTCCATTTATGTATTTATACAAAATAATGTCTACCTGAAACAATAGCAGCATACATTATCTGTCATCAATATCAACATAAGTCAAACAATGAAGGAGCAAAATTTATCGAAGTAACATGAATTTATTTGATAAACTACTTGCATTTATATACACTTGTTTGCCTAATCATAAAACATAGTGTGCATTTTGTGTATACATATGTATCTGTTTGTAAACTATGGTTAGTGTAAGAAGCAGTAAGTTCCACATTCCTTGGCTTTGGAATGTAAGTACCCTCTCTTTAATGTTGTCCTTTTCATTTCCATTCTTGAAATAAATTCCTGGAGTTGGAATTTAAAGATTTGTCATTAACTTACAATGCTTTTTATTAAAGGTTAAAATAATTATTATATTCAGTTACCATGATCATTACCTTCTAGCTTCTGTTTCTTACTTAACAAATATTTTTATATTCTTTGTCATCGAGTTCAGTACTCCATCACCCAACAGCATCAAGTAAATAATGCTGTAGAGTGATGCTAATTGCACACAAAGTAGCAAACCAGAGTCCCATCTATCAAAGCAGTAAAAAATTTACTCTATGTTTTTGTTAGAATTCTCTGAAGTGTAGTAATAATAGATGGGAAAAGTTGGTAGAAATACGCTTTTAAAATCGGTATTGGTTTAAATTGTTTTAAGTTTCAGAATTCTGTTACCTAAAGGGAACTGTGATAAAGTTTGTTCGTGTGTGTGTGTGTTCATATGCATTTTGTGAATCCTTATCTCACCTAATAATTAGATTTGTAAAACATAGATGCTCACAACTGGGCTAATCATCTTTTAGAGTCTATGTACCTGAAGAATTCTAGGACACAAATCGTCTCTTCCTAAAGTAAATGTCTAGTATAGGTCTGATGAATCACACTGTAGAGAAGTATGTTTTTCTTCAGCAATTATAAAAGGCTTCTAGCTCACCCGTACCTAACTAAACTGTAGTCACCTAAAGTCAGGTGAGAGTAATCCAAGCCATAATGTCAAAATATAATTTTTTGCCTGTTGCACAATAGGAACTTCCAATATTTACAAGGGAAGTAGGGAAGGATTTTGTTTAGTCCTAACTCATTAGTGATCAACATTTCTGATTAATCACGTGACTTATTTTTTACGGTAGTTGAGAGGTTCAGAATGGATTTTCCTTCAGCTGTCTAGAAACATGTACTTTTGAGCTGGAATCACACACCATCTCTTTCTATCTCGAGTGAGAAGCTTCTAAAACTGAGGGTGGGAAGGAGGGTAAGGGAGGTTTACTATAATGCAAGTAAAAGCCTTATTTTAGATGTAGGTAGCAGTACCAACCAAGATATGTCTATAATACTGCATTCTATTATTCTACTAAGAAAGGAAGGTGTGTATGAACTAGCACCACAGTAACTCATAACAGACCTAAGAATGGAATGATTAACTACTGTCATTCAAAAGATGTACCAAGGAACAATGCTGATTTATTTTGTGATGATTAAGAAGGTATAGAATAGAATAGAATCATTAAGGTTGGAAGAGACCTCT